CAGGCCGGGGACCCGCGCCCCCTAGTGGCCGTGGACAGGCCCCGCCCATGCGGGCCGCTGCCTGGAGATGGACCAAGTACGTTCACCTGGGGCAACGCGGGGTCCCGCAGCCGGAAATCCGAGTCTAACTTAGGGTCCCCCCCAAACGTCACTGTGGATAGGCACCTGCTGACCCTGCTGACCGGAAGCCTCGCCCGCGACGTGCATGGTGCACAGTAGCCCCCGTTGCGGGGCCTGTGGGCTCTGCTCCGTGCGCCGCCCCGAGGGAGCCAGGGAACGGCAAGTGTCACCAGGAAATCGCGGGGGAGAGGAGATAAGTCATCGATTGAATGCGACCGCATCGCCTCCATCAGCGTCACCCCCACTGTCGCCTTCAGGGGATGTGCTAGGGAATCGGCCATAAGGAGGTTCAGGATTCCTCCTTCCCAGCCAGACACCCCCTCCCCCGCCCCCAACACCCAGGAAAAATCCCGGTGCCCTGGCCGGTGTTGCTCAGTGGATAGAGCGTCTGCCGGAGGAGACTGAAGGGTCCCGGGTTCGATTCCGCTCCACGGCATGTACCTCGGTTGCAGGCTCCTCCCCAGCCCCGGGCCCTGGTCAGGGCCTCTTCTCTATCTCCCCTTCTCTCGTCCACTCTCCCTAAATATCAATGGAAAAATACCCTCAGGTGAGGATAAAAAAATAAAAATGAAAAAGTAGTATCTTTAAAAAAAAACACAAAAAAAGAAACTAAAAGGAAACCCCGATTTCATGGACACATAAGGCTCACCCACAGACAGCTCTAGGGTTTGGGGTCCAGGCTGTGGCTGTGGCTGTTTGCTGGGCAGAAGGTATAGATGGGGTGGGGTGGGGGGGTTCGGGGATCTCTCCTCTCTTCTGCCCTCTCCCCTCCCCTCCCGGCCTTTCGGGAAGACATTCGTTCGTGGGCCTGGCCCGTGCTCCGGGGGGAGCCCGAACAGGTGGCTTCTTCAGCCGCCTTGGCAAAGTTGCGGGTGTGGGGCCAGCCCCGGGCTGTGAGCAGCAGCCCCTCCGTCTGTGTGACCAACTCACAGGGCACCTACCCGCCCGGTCTCCCGT